AACGCTTTGTACGAACTTCGCGGGAAGGAACCAAACGCCAAGCTTTTGATTTCGTACGAAGACATCACACTCTTTTGGAGGAAGGAGCGACTAGTATTCCTTTTACCTTGTCTATCCTGTTCACGGGATTAAGAAAAGAAAAGATTGCCAGTGTTGGGAATACTAGAATTGTTGGAATGCTGGCATTCGGGTTTTCAGCGGTGCAGGTCACGTTTTCCTATGTCACGTTTTTCCCCACGCATCTGATACGTGTTTCGTATCAGACACCCACACTCTTTTACCCATCGTCCGAAGCAATTGTAGATAGGAGGAACACACAGAATACAATCGAGAATCAGCGCGCTTACTTTGTGTCACACTTTGAGAGAGAGAGAGAGAGAACAAACCTGTACAGTCGTATCAACAAAGATACTATATATTTATACGAATACGAATATATCTAGCTAGCTAGTTAGCGCTCTTTTCTTTTCCTAGCGGCCGGCGCTCTATTATTATAATACTATAGTATATATACTCTAGTAAGCATAGTAAGAAATAAATATCTACCTACTCCCGCGCGATATACGCTAGGGTATACGCGGTATACCCTAGGGTATAAACCTTTACTTAATAGAATCTACTACTGTAACGAATACTCAAACTGGCTAACTAAACTTGGCTGGGTGTTCGCTGGTTGGTATGCTATGATAAGAAGAAGACCATCGGGTTGTTCACTTGGAAGTGAACTCGTTACTTGTATCAAAGATGTCAAACTAATATGATAAGATTGATAACTAAGTTGAGCACGAAGCTCCTATCTAATGGCAGACGTGCCAGTCTTATATAGAACCTTCGTTCTCTCGATGTTCGCTCGTTCGACAATCGAACTGGCTAACTTCGCCTGTTCGCCCGGCTAACTGGCGAACTACTAATATCACGTGATAATAATACAGAGAAATCCCTGGATCGCTTAGCTACTCCAAACGATCCCTATTTGCTATAAGAAACCTGGATGTGCCTGTCGAGGGTTGCGCCTCTTATTATGACAAGTATCACGTGAACACGTGATTCGTGACAACTACCCCTAGTAGAAGTACGGGAATACCTAATCTAGATATTCTACTACCTAGATTAGGTGTTCCCGCCTATCTAAATTAGATATTCTAAGAACTTTAAAAATTTATAAATCTACTAAACTCTCTACGTTAATTATAATAAGAATACTTATTTATATATAACTTACCTTTAATATATTAAAGTATTCTCAGTACTATAACGTTAGCTATAACTAATTTTCTTTTAGTTATTCTTTAAAAATCCCTCTTTCGAACTCCCTTAGAATTTTTAACTTTCCTTACTTAGTACCTAGCTTTATACCTAGCTAGTACTAGGTATTACCTAGTACTTAGTCGAGCCGGTTAGAATAATACCTAGGCGCGCTATAAGACTTAGTTCGACTATCGGGAACCTAGAATAGAATACTTTTACTAGCGTTTTTGTGACGACACGTACGCAAGGCCCACGGTGTAGGTTGTGGAATCGTAGAACTGTCAATTAAACAAAGATTCTAAGCTGAGGAGAAGAGGAGAGCTCGAGAGAGCTTCGATCTAAATACTTGGTGTGGGTCGCTAAGCGAGACCACGTGATCCGAATGGTGGTGACGGTTAGAACCGTCACAGTTTTAAGCTAAATTACGTAACTATACGTACCGGCTATATATATTTATTTATTTATCTATCTATTTATTATATAAGTCCCTCTTTCCCATCCCTTCTTGCGTAGGTACTATCCCCCTTCTCTCGCTTTATCTACTCCTTTACTCGTAAGTACTATCTCTTACTCTCTCTTCCTCTACCTATAAGTCCCTATTCTTTTTACCCCCGCCCNCCCCCCTCCCTCTCGCCTCCTTAGTAAAAGTAAGTAGGTAAGTACGTAGACGTAAAAGTAGCCGGTCTATCCTTCCTCTATATAAGGTAATAGGTAGAGGGAGGGCGGATTGGTAGATAGAGAAATATAAAGTAAGAGAGGTATTTAAGGCTACGAAACAGGAATACTTAAATTAGGTGTTTTTTTAGCTATTTTATATATATATATATATATTAGGTATTCTCGTACTATATAGGGCGGTAAATTAGAATACCTAAATTAGGTGTTTTACTCCTACTAGAACCTATTTACTACTCCTAATAACAGATATTAAACTTAAATTATACAAATTATATAAAAGATATACCTAGGTAATTCTCTATAACTTATCTACGTATTTACTTTTTTATTTACTTTTTTATTTACTTTTTTATTTACTTATCTACTACCTATAAATAAACAACCTAAAAATGGCTAACCAAACCAACTAACCAAGTCCTTACAAGACTTACCCTTCTACTTACCTTCCCACCCTCCTACCTTCCCACTCTCCTACCTTCCCTCCCTCCTACCTTCCCTCCTCCCTCCCACCTAACAACAAACTCCTTCCTTACCTACCCACCAACCCACCAACCAACCCCCCCCTATAAAATCCAAAAAAAAAAAATCACTTTACAAAACACAAAACAAAACAAAGTATTAACAAATAAATAAATAACTTACTTACTTGCAAAACATATACTATAAACGCAACAAGTACTTAAAAGTTACCTAGGTAGGGTATACCGTATACCGGTAAGCTATCTATCTATTCGGTTCCTATTTCCTAATTTTCCTAAAAGTAGCTAGTAGAAGATTTTTCTAGAGTAGAGTATAGTATATACCCTAATTTTTTTTTTCAGATATAGGAATAGAAATAGGAATAGGTTAGGTTAGGGTAGGCATTACGTAACAGGAGTAGGAGTAGGAGTAAGAGATACCTACTACCTACCTAGTTCCAGAGGGACTCGTGCGCCTACAAACGTAGATAAGGGTTGGGTGAGGTATATTTGCACGAGGTAAGAGTAGTTTAGGTAAGAGAGAATAGTAAATGTAAAACTTTTCCTTCCTACGCTACCGAATCAATGCCCAAGTCAAGTAAGTACCCAACTCCCCCCTTACCCTAATCCAAAAAGAACAAACCCCTTACCTCCAAAAGAACAAGCCCCTTACCTCCAAAAGAACAAGCCCCTTACCTCCGAAAGAACAAGTCCCTTACCTCCAAAACAATGTTCCCAACGCCCCCCCCCC